TGCAGTATTGAATATGTAAAAGTGATGTATAATTATTAAATTAGTATTAATTTTTAGACCTACTATAACACAATCGTATTCATATATTTGTGTAAACTATATGGGACTGGTTCTTTAAACATTTTAATTCGACTAACAATCAAATTTTAAACCTCTTCCTATTATGACATGATTGGGTCCAACAAATTTTAATGTGCTAATGAATTTGTAGGGAAATGACATGTCATATACACTGTACACAATATATAATATTGAAATGAGAAATGATTGTCTCATTTCAAATTTACTACAACGAGAGTGAAAGTAGAAATGATATTTTTGCTTCACAATTATTTTACAGAAACTACAAACTTCCAAAAACCAAAAATTGTAGCTCATACTAAAAATCAGATCATCGAAAATCAAAGTTCACAAATTTTATTTCATATATCACTTATTTGAGAGATTTCTCTCTATAAACAAAGTAAATGAAACAAGTTATAGCCAAATCAACAACTTTGGCTCGAAGACAATGACCCGCTTTTTCGTGGGAGAAAGGAATACATGCGGTGCCGTCAGAGATATGGAGAGCTGAACGAAAAGGATACAACACGAGTTCGTGAATGAGGACTGTGAAATAGATCATCAAATCACGGGCTTGGGGCTAAATAAAAGGACAAGATGTTAGTTAGATGACTGATGACATATAATTTGCCAATTTTGTACATCTATAGGAGATTTCCAATGTCGGCTTAGAAAATAAAAGGGTAGGAGGTTAGTTAGATGACTGATGATATAGAATTTGCCAATTTGGTACATCTATAGGAGATATCTAGCGTCGGCCTAGGAAACAAAGAATCAAAGGGGAAGAAGAAGATATAGACTCTTTTATTGACAACAAATTGAGTGCATGGGGGTGCATAATCGATGCATTCATTTCTCTTTTCCTTTTAAAAAAATAAAACTAAAAACTTCAATAAAAACTAAAAATAGTATCGTAAACTTTGTTGGGTTTCTATTCAACTTTTGAAGCCTGTTCTTTTTTCGGTGCTAATCAGATTATTTATACTACTAAATTTTTTTTTCCGCTGCATTATTGTAATATTTTGACCAAAACATGTTAGTAAGTTAAATAATATATTAATTAAAATAATATAATATTCACGCTCTTTCGGCGCACTTAAATCATAATTCTCGAAGAACATACGGTCTTACGCTCCCGCTCCGCGAATTGGTAAGCTAAATTCGTCGAGTCAATTCTCTAGACAAAGAGACTACTGGCAGAAGTCGCCTTCCATCACATATTGCCTTCCCTCGCAAACACCCCCACACTCAATTCCCACTTGCTCGTTTCTCATTAATTTCACATCTGACACACACCACCGACATAGGAGGGCGACCTTCATCGCGTGATGAATACATGTTGTTGAGTGTGTTTTAGAAGCTCGAAAGAGGATAGCAAAAAGTAGCAGTAGAAACAAATGTAGATAGTCAAGACGAGGAAGAATAATATTCATATGTAGATGAGATTTTATATAATTTATAAATATATTAAAAAATATAATAGCTTTTTTCATATATCTGGGAAAAACTGGACTAAAACGATTGAACCATTAACCCTAAACCCACTTAATGACCGGTCCAACAGGCTAAACCGAGTTGAAAACCTTTGATTCTTTGAAATTCAAAAATTGTGGACTTTCAGATAGTGGTTGAAATTCAAAAATCGGTCTTCAATGTTCATTCGTGACAGACAAGTTTTTGCGTTTAATTATTGTTGGGTCACAGGAAGAGATAGCGAAAATGGAAGATGAGATTGTGGCTATTAATTATTGGGAGTTGCAGATAGAGAAGATAAGCCATAATAGGGGGCTAAATTTAATTTGATAATATGTAAATACTATATATTACGAGGACATGTTTGATGTGAAAAATAATAGAGTGATAGATTTGCGAAAATAGATAATAGAGTGACAATTTATACTATTAACTCCACATGAAAAGTAAAAGATCGTAAATTTAAGGTTTTATAATGTTTGGATTTTTTAACTTTTGTACGTGCATTAGTATCTAACACATAACAGCCTTACAACCCCTACTTATTATTTAAACAAGCCTATTCACTAAACTATAATAATTTATACAATAAGCGTTATGTTTTCGTGTTCTTCCATATTTGAGATTTCTAGGTATAATCTTTTCCTTATTCTCTTGATTTTTTATATACCTTCAATTCCTACCATTTTAGATTACATATATTTTCTTCCAACTCCACAATCATATCCGATAATAAAAATCACACAAATTTCTTCTAAGATATGAAAAAATATACAACAATAAACTAGGACAACTTGATAAAAAAACGCATATTAACTAATTATCGCTAATGCCATAATCAAGAAATAACATAAAAGATTATTTCAAAATAAGGGATTAACTATTTTAGTAAGCTCCATACTTTTCTTTACTCCAACTAGATAGATCCATCTCATATTTTTTATTCATATTTAAGATATCACTTTCACCTTCTTCGTTGTATATCTTACTGAGTCGTTCCATAGATCAATGATCGTTAATTCAGAACTGCTCGGTTCTAAAACTTCATCTCTATTTAATTTCTTCCTCCTCTTGTAACGTATCCATAAGTGTTGGTCGATTGTCATATATGCATATGTCGAGATGACAGACCTCTAAATGTGAGAAATGGTTATACAAATCTAGTTTTGCAACAAATTAAATATGTCTAACCTTTTGTCAATAAAGAGTCCATGGGATCTATTGTTAGGGCATTGCTATTCGTCGCCCAAAATTCCTTATTCGTCGCCCTAATTAAATTACATTTACTTTAATACCCTTAATTCATTTATCAACACACCCATTACCAATTAAATGGCCAACACACTTGTCCTGGACTCAAACAAAAAACATATAAACATACAGCAGCATCACTATCATTGTTCTCCATTATCCTCACTTCTTCACTTAGATTGTAAATTGCAGCAACAACACTCTTAAATTCTAACTTGTCTTTGTACTGTTCTTATGAATCGGCTACATGGATTCTTTCTTGTTTTTTCTTCTTCCAAATCATCTGATACCCCTCAAAAACTTCCAGCAACAGAGGAGAAGAAAACAGAGGATAAAAAGTGGAATCATTTTCTTATTTTGAGCGATCACTTTTACAAGAGATAAATGAAGCAACAATCAACAAGAGATAAATCGAAAGCCAATTTAAATATGGCAAATGAAAAAAAAAACCAATTTTAGACGAATCTGGTACGGGAAAGCATGATGGCCAACCACCTCTGGCGGGGACTAAGTTCGTAGGGATCTCCTGGCTGCGTTCACTAGAGACCGCATTAACTTGTAGTTGTCTTAAGAATCCCATATCATTCCATCGACCCAAGATTTGGCTGCTGAAATCCTCTGTCATTCATGACCGAAAACCCAAAATCTGTCGTCCCTGATGGCTGTAGACATGGAGGCAACGAGGAAGGAAAGTGGAGGAGGAGGATTGCGGTACAGCGGTGGTTTGAGATGGTGAGCTTTGTTAGTTCGAGGAAGGGGAAGTGGAGGAGAAGAATCATGCCCACCTCTCTGATCGGGCTTCCTGAACTCCGTCGGAAGTAGATCATTGCCTGATTTATCCCCCTCTTCTACCCAGATAGAGCGATTGCTCGAGGATGAACAGGAAGGGAGGCGTCAGAGTAGGGGAAGCCGGCTTGCAGAGACGACAGAGTAGGCGACGCCTTCTTCTTCTTCTTCTTCCATTTGAGCGGCGACAGATTTGGATTGGGGTGAGGAAGCGATTAGGTATTGTTTGGTTTGGATTTAGAATTGAAATCGGGTTGAGGGTAGATATGTCAATTTGTTGCGTTTTAGGGCGATAAAATTTAAATTTTAGGGCGACGAATAGCAATTCAGTATTGTTATCCCATGTAAACCGGAAACCTCTGAAGTCACAATCAATCAATCTACACATTCTTCAAGCACTTCAAGAAAATATGTACCCAATTTTCACCTACAACTCTTCCTCCATTTTTCTCAACTCCTAACAGGATCTTATTAAATTTCTCCATGCAAAGTCATGGAAGATTATTTCTATCTTTAATATCCCTTTAATAGCTCTCATGTTTGTGTCTCTGTTGTCTGTCTGGCCTTGCGTAGATATCAGTTAACATCCAGGGTGGCTCCCCATTTTTGCATGTTATATCTCCAACAAGATGGTAATGCGATGATGACTTCATGGTATAATCTACTTCATCTGTCCAGAATATGCATAGGCCTCCTGCTCTGCCAAATGATGGAAATCCATCTCTATTCTTAAAATTCAGTTCTCGTTGTACTTCCTCTCGTTCATCTTTTGAGAGTTTCGTCTCCATAAGAAAAATAACTTGTGGTTTTTATTCTTTCAACATATTTTGAGATCGGCGACAACCTAGTCAGGCAGTTATAACTAATTATTCAAATACTTAAAAAACACACCAAACAAAAAACATAAAAAGGTAGGGGGCAGCTGATACGAAAGCCGAAAGGATGAAGATGGAAAGACGAAGAGCCCTAGCCAAAGGAAAAGTCAAAGTACTGGAGGGTGTGATAAAATGATAGACAAAGTAGAAGATAAGAGGAAACTTGCAGAGAAGAAGAGAAGTGCAAAAAAGAGGAAGGAAGAAAAGATCAGAGACGATCAAAGAGCCCTTAACTAGAGGGACAAATGAACAACCAGCCGAAAATCAGGGAAAAGAAAATGCCTCTTATACGAGAGATGAAACTTTTTCCTATGAAAAAATTGCATAATCTCCGAAATCTAATCAAATCTCATAAAATTCATTAAGTATACTATGAAAATAAATAAGTTTGTGCTTATCTAATAATAAAGGAAGTTAGGAAGTGATGATAATTTTGTGATAAATTAAGACAAGGTTTAGTTGTTTTTTAGGTCGAATTAATTAATGATGTGGATTCAAATAATAGCTTGAAATCAATTATAAAATGATTAATAGTGTGGTAAAATAAAATGATGTGCTACTCCTGATGGGCTGAGAGTGAGTGGGGAATCCTACAAAATGAAATTGGGAATAGGCAAAAACATGCATCATGTGTCTGCCGCTTCCTCTCCCTTCCTTCCTGAATTCAGCGTTTCGTTTATTTTGTCTCTTTTCCTCCATTCTTTTTTAAACATTATCTCCCTCCTCCCCTTCTGCATTCTTTTACACCACCCATCATTTCCTTTCCTCCTCCATTAATCTAATCAACAACTAATCCCCCAAAAAAGGAGCTTCCCCCATCTGTCCCCTCCATCTCCCAAGTCCCACTACCATCATGATCCACCGTCGTACTCTCTTCCTCCTCCTTCTCCTCTACTCCTCCATTTCCCCTATTTCTGCCGCCGACACTTCCAAACTCCCGGAACCCAACCCTCCCCCTTCAAACGGCTTCGGCGACATTGCTCTTACCGACTACCTATCCTCTACCTCCAACTTCCCCGCCCTCCTCAACTCTGGCGACACCCCTGCCCTTCGCCCCAGCCTAGCCCTCATCGTCGGAATTTCCACCACCGTCTTATTCATCACATTCCTCCTCCTCCTCTACGCTAAGCACTGCAAGCGTCCACCTAACACCAGAAATGCCTCTAACAACCTAGCCAACATCGACGCTGGAGGAGGTCTTGTCAGGAAAAACTCTGGTGTGGACAGGTCGGTCATCGAGTCTCTTCCTCTTTTCCGCTTCAGTTCGCTCAGAGGGAACAAGGATGGGCTCGAATGCGCCGTTTGTCTCAACCGGTTCAACAACACCGAGGTTCTCCGCCTCCTCCCCAAATGTCGTCATGCCTTCCACGCCGATTGCGTCGATACCTGGCTTGACGTCCACTCCACCTGCCCTCTCTGCCGCCACCGCATCCACCCGGAAGATGTCCTCATCGCAATTGAAGACTGTGGCGATGATGATGAGTTGGAAGAGGGAGAACCCCCCATGGCACCTCACGAGGTCTGTAACAACGCTCTATCCGAGTCTCCCGGAACCCCAACAGGAGATGCTTTTGAAGAGCCTCGTCATCCAGGATATGACCGACATTGAGATCGGGAGATGCGAATCCTCCTCCATTAATACTTCCGTCTCTGCCTCTGAGCAGGGCTCACGTCGGCTCCCCGGTAGGCATTCGTCGGCAGGGGAGAGGCCGACGGGGACCAGTACCAGGTTTTTATCTCACCTGTTTTCTTCCAATAGGAAGGGTGCTTTCTCTCAGAGCTCGACTCCATCTATTAGGAATTCAATTATGGGTTTGGAGAAGAAGAAGCGAGGAAGTGCCTATTTAGGTGTCGTGGCTGTCGGTTGCTTCGACTGTTACCAACGGAAGGATGCGTTTCTCTTGACCCAACAACAGCTAGGTGCCAGATTGGGTTCACCATCCGGGTCGGTCTCAACAGCTGATAGAACCCGTTTGGAGCATCACATAATCGTGTCAGATGGCCGAAAAATTCAAGCCCATAGGTGGAGCGCCGTACATGCATCAGATCATCTCTATCTCCGATCAGAATTGATCATCAGTTGTAGTCGTGAGGTACATTCAGAAAGAATACAGCGACCACAGCGGCCTCCACCTCTTCCCCCACCATGGCGCCTTTCAACCGCACAAGTACAAAATTCTTAGGAGTACTGTTACTATAGATATCTAAGCTCCATACTGGTCTTTTACGGCAAAAGAAGATTTTTGGGTCAATGAGGCAAAAGGAAAATGATGCTACCCTTTTTTCCAACTTAAATGATTGGCTTCTAGGTGTTCTGATTTTGAATTTTATGATGAAAGGATCACCTAAGGAACCTAATCCATCAACAGGCTTTCTTTGGAAGGGACTACTCTAAAGCCTAGAAATGGAGCCCTCGAATAAAATTTTGGACCTTTGGGAATCAAGGTGTTGTATTGAGTATGATTTGGCTTAGCAACTATGTTTTTTAGGAAGAGAAAATTTCAGTTGAAAGGATCTGAAGAGTTTCTTGAAGATGTAAAAGTAGTAATTTGCAGGATTTTATGTAGAATGTACCATATGTTAGGAGGATTATGATGGGCTTCTGTTTCCATTTATTTGCCTTGATTGATTCCCTCTTGTTGAGAGGAATCTTTGACTCAATGAATTTGTGGTTTTGGTCCTTATTCTTGGTGTGTCTTTGGTACTATGTATGTCGCAGATTAGGAATTTTGAGGCCCAATCTCTCTGCATTCAGCAGCTGAATATATTAAGTGCTCATCCCTTTCAATTAGCTCTAACTAAGGACCGGTGGCTCTAAATCCTGAAAAACAAGGTTGGTTCTACATTCCTGCTTTTATTTTCTCGTTATCCTGATAGAGCTATAGTTAGGGCTAGGCACTTGCAGGTTAGGCAAAGAACTTGATTTTTCAATGATTCATGTCATTATGGATTTTGAGGTTTGGATCTCTAGCTTGTTAGATTGCCCAACGAGGAGTTCCAACCAGAATTTACCATTTGGAGAGATGAACTCATCTTCAAAGGATTGTTGATAGGTTTGTGGGAAACGCAACTAATAGGACAAACTCTATAAGGTAATGTGAATAGCATGAGCAGAGCTCATGTATCTATTGCTAGATAATCAATAGCTAAGAGAACAGACTTCTCATGACTACCATAATGGTTGGGTGGCTTTTGATTGAACACATGCTCAACAGATCTTTTGGTTTCAAATGTCACACAGTTCATAAAGTAATGCAATGCAAGAATGACATCCTCCCCTGTGTGTAGCTTCTTATGTAATTGTCACTAAACTGACGATCAATTACTCTACTCGCCGCAAAGAAATAGTAGTATATTTGCTTAGAAGAGCCAAATTGTAACATCTGATAGTGATTAGTTTATTAATGCAAAAAGCAAAAGGGACCAAAGACAGGTTGTTTGCATTAGTAGTTGGGAGGGAGCCCTGGATCTAAGGGAAAATCATTATACATGCAAAGGTAGTAGTAGGGGGAAGAAAGAAAAGAACGTTGGTTGATTGAGGATATCATTAATTAAGATCACATGGTTCTGAAATTGAGTAAAGAGGAGCAGTAGGCCATACAAAAATTGCTTTGCTTGTAAATGTATCAACATAGACAGCAGGGTATCCACGTATTATGTTGATCTCATTTACTGTTATTGCTGCTCTACCACCACTAAATTTGCAATTCTACATGCATATATCCCATTTACTCCTTGGAGGTCCCATCGTTGCCCAATCTGTGTTCTGTTGTTTCATAATGCATCTATATATTCTGATTCCATCATCATAACCAACCATGCATGCATCATTCATCGGGTTGTCGATGTCTAATAAGTTAAAATAAAGAGGAAGAGTGTGAAGGGAATGAGAGAGTGAAATAGAAAGAAAGTGACTGAAGCATTTCTAGTTAGGTATGGTGAATGGATGGATGTATTTTAACTTAATCGACATATGAATGGTGACCAGGCCAGATCAGGTGCACTATTGTTGGTGGTGGTGGAGCAATTGTGATTAAGATGGGTCGATGATGTAGGGTTTTGGTCTGGGAGGTTTTGTAGAAGATTCATACACTTGTTGCCATCAGTTCGTTGTGCTACATACCACTACATTATATAGGAGGGATAAATAAAGGTACAAAATTTGGTCTGGTATTTGAGTTGAGAGTATGGTTTGGTTTATGTCAATTTAATATTATCATCACTTCAAGTAAACAATAGACAAAATCTAATTATATTTTCAATTTCTACAACGGATTGGTATATTCTAATATTGAATTGGATCCATTTTCTTCGGTAGTTGTTGTTATATTATTAGCTTTTGCTTGATCAAATACCAAACAAGCTCATCGAAAACCAGCACTATACATCGTGGCTACTATCTAACATTGTCTACTTTACATATCAACTTTAATCTTGCACCACTGTCTACTTCCATAACTACCGCAACTTATACTACTTGCCTAATATCAGCAAAATTAGAATATGCTAACATAGCTTCAAAGTCTGCCCTACTCAAACATAATCTTGCTATATCCCATCTCACTTGAGCGATAATGCTTTCAGCTCCTCCATTGAGCTCGAAACACTCTTTTGTACCTCTCCTTCCAAATTGTGGCAAGAAACCAACACCACAGGATTTTGTCTATTGAAATTTGTAGTCTGACATCTTTAATCCCTTTCTCGGTCCATCTTGTCATCTTCTCTAACACCTCTCCTTCCAAATTGTGACAAGACCGAGAACCATTCCACCTTTCTCTTTAGGTATTATATATTTCCAGATCATAGTTGTAGAAAACTTTAGTAGAACTTTTCCTCTCATGTTCCCTAAGAAGCAGAGTCTGACATCAACCTAAACTAAAATCAGAATCTTACCCCCAACAGTTTCCTCCAAAGCCAAGACCCTACCTAATTTCCCATTAGTTCCCATATTGATCTCTCCTTCAACCTATACTTGTGAATCCATGCCACCCAAAAAGAGCCATCTTTCACCAAAATGAACGAGATCATTATTGATGCACATGCTACATTCAATAAATCCAAGTATTTCAATCCACAAACTCCCTCTTTTTATAGGTGAAGCCACTAGATCCCACCTAGCCTTTGCCTTGTCAGTATCTTCTCCATTCCACAAAAAATCAGAACAAATATTTTCAATATGCTTGATGACTACTTTTGGCGATAAAATGACAATCATCTTGTATTGCACAATCGAATACAGTACTGAAGAAATCAACGATAGCTTACCAACATAAGACATCTTAGAGACCTTCCATGATCTCAACTTGCTAGTTAGCCTATCCACCAACAAGCTACATTCTGCACTTGATAGCTTATTGAATTGTAAACCAACCTTAAGTACTTAATTGACAGTTTTTCTTTCCTAAATCCAAAATTTGAAAGAGCAAGCTACCTAGCATACTCGAAACACCCCCAAAGAAGACCTCACATTTCAATGGATTGCATTTTAGATCAAACATCTCATAGAATTGGTCTAAGACTTTTCGGACACATTCCAAAACATAATTCGACCCCTTAGTAAAAATGAAAATGTCATTTGCAAACCACAAGTGTGCCAGACCAATTGTTTTACAATGTGGGTGATAAGATAAATACCTATTTTTTTCTACCTTGTCTAATAACTGTGTCAAAACCTCCATTACAATGATGAAAAGGTAAGGAAAAATGGGATCCCCTAATCTAACACCCTTCTGAGCACCAAAACATCCAAACAAACTACATTGAACAATGATGCTAAAACTGGTTGTTTGTACACATGCCTGAATCCATCTAATAAATTGCCTAGGAATTTTCACCACATCTAAAACACATAGAAGGAAACCCCAATGAACAAAATCAAAATCTCTCATGAGATCTACCTTCATTGCACTTCTAGAAGCAATCCCATTCCTATGATTGTTGGGAACCAATTCCGGAGCCATTAAGATATTATCAATCATACTCCTCTCCTTCACAAAGCATATTGATTCTTGCTTATAATGGTTGACATTACTTTCTGTAGCCTAAAAACCAAATAATTTGAAAAGATCTTAAACAATACATTTATACAAAAAATTGGTCTAAATGTAGTCATCTTTGCAGTTGCAGGGATCTTTGGACCCTAAGTAATGGTTGGTGTTAATACCTTTTGGAATGACACTGGTAACATCAATATCCTGGATGACCCTTGTTACTTCCCTTCCTATCACCTCCCAACTCTACCGAGAACAACTAACAGTCCACCCATTTGATGTTGCTGACTTATTGGGGGCCATGAAAAACAGTGATTCCTTTATTTCGAAAGACAATAATCTTACACTCAACATTTGTCCTTCCTCCACTAAAAGTCTTATAGCCAGAAGAGTCATAAGTAGCTCAACATGAGGATAGGACAAACCTATTTTATCTTTTTGTGCCAAATTGATGCCCATAAAACTATATAGCTTCCCTTGCAATCTCCTCTACATCTTGAATTTCCTCACCAAAATCCACACACAATTTTCCTCATCTACTTGCCATTATTATCTTGCTAACCGATGAAAATAACAAGAATTTATATTCTCAATGCCAAGAATTTTTTTATATAGACGGTTTCGAATTAAATCTAAACATTATCCAATCCGAAATTTGATAGAGTATCAACTTCGCATTATTATTTAGTTGAAGGTTGATTCAATTTATTTTTACCACTGCTCACTCACCCGTACTTTCGATTGATGAAATTTACCGATATTGACACGTTCCATCAACCAAACCTGCTGAGTGAGTCAGCATTAGTTAAGTCAACCAAACCACCCCTATTTAAAAAAAATGTTTGGCAGAACCAAACCACCTTTTTTTTTCCCATTAGATCACTCTTCAGAAGAGAATATCGTTTAGATACATGGGGACTAAAGGGGTTATATTCCCCTAGAACGAAGCCAAGAACAGAAGTCGAACCTCGCAAACAATTGAGGCGACAAAAGCAGAGCATGACGGGCTACACAATGAGCCGCTCTGTTACGAATTCTACCAATGAACTGAATATCAACCAAATCCATCCCATCCAAGAGTAAAAATATCTCCTGCAACAGGGCACCAATCTTGTTGTCCGCTGCATCTCTTGCCACACATTTGTCAATGATTAATTTCGCATCTCCACAAAATGATATGGATCGGAGTCCACATCTGCAGCAATCAAGTATACAATCCCACAAGCCCAGGACTTCCAACACATAGGGATCACTAATTGCTTCAAGTCTTTATGAAAAGCCCTTCTGTAAAGGGGAAAAAAGCCCAATTCTCCAGTTAAAGCCCATACGACCACAAACCCAAAATAAACAACGAAAAAAAACTACTCTTTGGCAAGCAAACCCTTTCGGCTTTCTGTAAAACCCTAGCACCCAATTTGTGGCTCGTTAAACCTTCGGTTTCGCCATTTGCTTGGTTGCTGCTATCAGTCGGAGTTTATCCAAGTACCTGCTTAGCCTCCCCAGGTTCGTCAGAGCGTTTGATATTTGGTTCTTGCCGCCTTCTTGTTTCGTTCTAATCTCTGACCTACTGCTACCAATGTGTCTGTCCTCTACTTCCTCTTTTTTCCTGGAGTTCTCGTTAGATGTTTTAAGGTTTTGCTAGGTTGGGAAAACAGTTGACTTGTCTTACGGATTTTTCACTTTTCAATTGATTTGCCTTTGCTTTGTTTGTCTGTGTGTTATTCTCCAGCTTCTCATTGTATCTGAAGCTCCCATTTTGCCACGCTTTGCCATGTCGTTGCTGGAAGTGATCACAAAGGCTGCTACCAATTCCAAAGACACTGCAACTGGGTCCGAATACCCAATAATCCTTAATCCAGATGAAACTTTTTTAAATTTGAAGCCTCAGCTTGAAACTCCAAATGCTACTGTCCTTGTCAGCCCTGTATCTGGGTGGCAACCTTCCCAAACCGATACCAAAGTCATCGAGATTAGCAAGAAGTTCCACCCTAAGCTGAAGCGGAAGCTCAAGGACACCAATAGTTTCACTAAAGAAAAGTTCATCAAACTGCTGAAGCCATTTCTTGAGGAAGTTAGAGAGATATTCGGGCTCTCTGTTGCTGCTGATTCGGCTAATGATGCTGATTATGCTTGTGCGTTGCTCCGGAAGATAGGGTTTTTTATGGGTCAAGATATGGCGAGTTTGGTTCTTGAAGCAAGTCTCAAGTTTGAGATATGGGACATGTTGGAGACGTTGATTGTTAACCGGTTAGTTGGCCATTCATGTTATTCAAGCTTGGTCGAGAGCCTGATTTCCAGAAAGAGGTCTGATATTCTTTGCCTATGTATCAAATATGCCACTGATCTTGGACTGTCGGAATTGACTGGCGTTGTGAAGTATTTTCTGTGCCCTTCAAGAGAGGCTTACAATGCTATGGCAGATGTAAGGAAAGAATGGGAAAGCCAAGCTTTGACTGCCATTGACAAAGCAAGCGACATGAGCTTGTTGGACAACAAGAAGTCGAGGTTGGCTAAAGAGGCTGCAGTTCTGCTTATGCTTGCATATGATGGCTTCTCTACTTCCGAGCTCTGCCTGCATTACTTGCTGGCATCTTCAAATATTGATGAGGTGATTATGTCAGCAGCGATCAGTAAACTGAACGGTAGAGAGTTGATGAGCTTGGTAAGATATTTGGGGAAATGGTTGAAGAAGTATGAAAGGTTTCCTGAGGCGGTACCTTGTCCCAAGGCTTCTAATGCATTAGGGTTAAAAGCTTGTGCTTGGGTTCCTAAACTCGAGGACATTGTCAGATGTTTTGGGCTGGTCGTGGATGAAAACTTCTCCACTTTGATACTGCACACTGAGTTTCACGAAGAGCTGAAAGCAATTAAGGAGTATGTTGGCTCTCTAGCCTCAGAAGCCCCACTCTGTAGTTCTGTAGCAACTTCCATCAGCAGATTAAGGAGTGAAGCTAAAGGTGAGCAGAGCTAGGTTCTCTTGTAATGACCTTTTTTTTGCATTTGAGTTAAGGTGTTGATAGTTGAGCTAAAACTAGAGAACCGAGAGTTTTCTATATTGTGGGCTCATCATGTTCTCCCCTGTGACTCCAACTAGTCCAATTTTGAGTTTAAGTTTCGTCCAGGTGACCAGGTCCAATCAATAAGCGGTTCCTTTATTTGATCTGGGTAGTCTATACTATAGTTCTTTCAGATGAAGAGTCGATATTCAATGATGAATTAGAGTAGGGGAGCACCAAAACTCAGTTTAAATTGGCATTGGATTGATATTTGGATAAAATTAGATTGAAGTAAATGTAATTCGCATTAAGTTTGATATTATAAATCCTGTTAGAACGACGGAAAAGTGGACCTCATCAAAATTGGATTGCGCAAATTGCACGTTTGATTAAACTTCGAACCTATTTTGCCTCAATTTCCTATGACGTTCTATGCTGATTCGTTTCGGTTCTTGATCGTCATTTTCCCTCTGTTTCTTATGACGTTCTATGCTGATTCGTTTCGGTTCTTATCCTCAATTTCCTCTAAGCGGTTCATACTCTGAACAATCAACACAGAACATGCTTCCGCTCATTTTATTGGCAAGGCAATTGGCTACGTAGTCAAGAAACGGGTTGGCTACTTCTCATACATCAGTCTGCTACATACAATGGTTTAAAACAGAGCGGGAGACAATAATGGAAGGGTTCGCTCAAGTAGACGGAGGAATTTCCCATTGCTTCGGCACAGGACCGATATCGTATATGATCTCGCGGTGGCAAGACCAAACCAGTTTAATGGCTTCTGGAGTTCCAATTCCTGCACCTCTCGGGTCCCCAGCCGGTCCAAACCTGCCATTTTCATCACATACCATGCCGTCACATTACAGCGGAAATTTCGCACGACAATGCTGAACTGAAAAACAAGGTCTTACCAGTGGTTCTGGGGAGCTCCTGTTGTTCTTGCCCGCAACCCAGCATAAGTAGTGCCATTAACAGACTGACCAATAACTTCCTGCAGAATCCAACTCGGTTTTAGAACTCGAATAATCAAGAGCGAGTAAAGACAATAAAGTAGTCTTCTTGCCTGCAGAAACAGGGGATCGTTTGAAACTACAGCAGCTGTCAAATGTGCATGCATCCTCTCCAAAGCCTCCAAAACCATGGAGAGTCGACTTTTCTTGTACTCCGTCACCACCTAGATAGATGCCATAAGTCAAGCCGATCATTAGAATTGTTCATCTCTCCAAATAATCTGGAATCACACTAGATCATAAACGTAAGGAAATAACAGTAGCTTTCACTTTTTTTGTTGTTCCTTTTTACCTGGAATGGTCCAAATATTTCTTTGGTCACAAGTTCATAGTTGCCGTGTTTCAGAATTTCATCCAGAGGGACATACACGGCTGTTGGTTTTACGGCACCATAGATGGATGGAATGGAATGATTCTCCAGTGGCTTCCCACCAAAGAGCAGCTTTGCCCCGGGTATCTTAAGCAGTTTGTTCACATGATCCAGCATTGCCTCGGTAGTAACCTGCAACAACACAAGACAATCAATTTGACTTATCTCGGGAGCTGCCTTAACAAAGAGACCCAAAGAAAAAACTAGAACACCAATGAGCAGATGTTTGTGCTTACAGTCAGAACAGGGCCAACTGTTAAATCTTCCAATTTTCTCCGTCCTGCAAGCTCCTTCAATTTTGAAAGAAGTGCTGTAGCAGCCCAGTTCTGCAACATTAATCAATAGATTTGGAGAGAGAAAGAAACCAAACATGTAAACAAGGTGGTGGTGGATTTCGACCGTTCCAGGTAGAACAAGGGAAGAGGGGGAGCAAACCTCGTGCATGAATAGAATGGATTGGGCAGAGCACTTCTGACCACTACATGCGTAGGCATCTTGGTCACAGACCCAAGCAACATAGTCAGCCTACAACAAATTGAAAGTGTAGAGTAAATAACTTAAAGAGCTATATGATGCATAAAACGGGCGACTAAGTATTGGACATAAAACATTTCTTTCTTGGAAATACTACCTCACCAACATCAGGTCCCAAAATTTTCCAATCAAATCCAGCATCTTCCAACTTGACACGACCGTTTAAGTCAACAGCTAACTTCTCTGCAATTCTCGAGCTACCAGTAAACAGTGTCATCCGTGGATTTGCCTACCAAAGATGACAAAGGGCATAATACCATTTCCAATCAAACACAAGATTATACAAAAGTTTGATTTCGACAGCAGAATTGTTTTGATAAGAGATAACAAAAAGTAAATGTTATGTAGGGATAAATTTCCAAGCAGTAGATATGGAAAGTAATCTCCCAAACCCAGGGGAAGAGCATAGAGACACCAAGAAGGACAGGGTTGACAGACATTCAATTCCTGCAAAACTAACCTCCATTAGTATCTTGTTCATAGTCTTCCCATCCGAATTAACAAAATCAACATCTTCCTCAGGCAACCCACAATAGTGAAGTAGTCTCATCATTTGTTCCATAATAATGGATACCTAGCAATAACAGGTCATATCAGCCACGATTATAACCCTATAAGGGCAGGTAAAGAAAGGGTAAAATTAACAGGTAGGAGTAGGACGTTGAGGCAAAAGCCCCCATGCCAGCAGACCTAGAAGACTATATGCCAGCTTGCTCCTATATATGTTCATTGTGCATCTTCAGCACCATAAGCAAGCTGTGAATAGCAGATTTCTGCCTTCTCTCTGTTGTATTCAGTATATGCCAACTTGCTTGTATAGCTAAGACAACATAAGCCAGGAATGCACTTTCAACAAATAATTTGCAATAAACTTACTGATTTAATGTCAAGAAATAAAATAACAACGAAAAACTTACTTTGCTATCAACCTTAAGCAGGGGTTTGTTGCCCATATATAGTGCACCCATCAACTGAAGAACCGGAATCTCAAGTGGGAAATTAAAAGGAGTAATAATGGCAACCTGCATAAACATACAAATAAGGAAGGCTTGTGAACAATGATCCAAATTCTCTAAGCAAACAAGTAGCATGCACCAACCGACTTAGGCTATCAACTACATATACTCTTAAAGCTTCAGACGAATCAAAGGGTTCAAGCACTTGGCAAACGAGCATAGAACAATCTGTGCAGGTAGATTTTCTCCCCATATACTCCCCACACTAGCAGTATACATAAGGTTTTGCACAGCTCCAATTCAACATCGAAACAAAAACATAGAACCTAGGTTGTCCACATAGTAGTACTGTCTTGCTGCAGATTGTCTTTATTTGAGATGTGCACTCTCATTGATAATTTATATAGGTAATATTTCCTGAAAATAGAAAGTGATATATGGGGTACTTACTGGGCCATAAGGCCATCGGAAGCCAGTACTTAGCTGTCCAAGATGATTTCCAGGCACCCCAAACGACCTTGCCAAGAATCGAACCTAGCAAATTCACAAGGTTGAAAGGGTCAAAATAAAAAAAAAGAGACAAGAAGTTAAATGTGCACCGATAACTAGTAAAACCACAGGAACACATAAATTTCCGAGCTTGCAAAAGCCACATTGCTATATAGAAATATATCATGCAGGAGATTGATCAAAGAGATAAGTTTTTATTGAAGCACTAGCTAGGGCAGTCATATATTCGGTTTAACAGTTCCATACATCCAGTGTTACATTTCATCCTATTCATATAATTAAATAAGTTTGCTAATCTAAAATGATGAAATTGGAAAATTCTCAAGTATAGTGGTGGTGGTCAACCTGATCACCGGAGAAATTCTCAAGAAACTTTTGTGTGACTTGAACTTCACCAAGCGCTTGCTGATAACTTTTCGGGGAAACTCTTTGTATTAACCTTGCGAAGAAATCAGAAACCTGAAAATCATAGGGGATTAAAACCATTCAAGTTTCTTGTGGTAGTCACAAGAATCATATATGAAGTTCAACTTAGACCTGATAAACGTGAGAGAATGATATCCCAAGTCCCAAAGAATATGTTTACCTTTGGTAATGAAAGCATGTGCCCCGCCTTCGAGGATATGTTCCCATAAAGAAGATACCTGCCCAAACCAGCAAAGCGAATTAGACATCGTCAAACAAATAACAACTTTAAGGGTAGAAACTCAAACCTCTCAGGCAACTTAAATGGATTGTGCAGCCCATGTTTAGGACAATTGGACAAGCTCTCCACAAATGGCTGCACAGACAATACAACCAACAATCATATGAGATGTACATGTACCGCACCTACTTCAGCAACGTACCAGAAGCTAGCAGGGGAAAAATAATACTGAATTGAGAACATTAATCACCCTCAGGGACTAACCCTGATGCCTTTCTCATCTACTTCAGCAACTCTAATAAATGGTTCCCCGTTTAAAGGATCCACAATTGTGTTCCACCTAGAAGATCCTCCCCATTTCCCCTGCACTGTAGATCAGCGAATGGCAGCCACAAAACACGACTCAGCCATTTTTTTAATCTAGGTAAATCTCGGTAACTTAATCAGCATTTCTACATTGAAATGAAGGAGGGAATCCCAAAACCTACCCAGGTTTTGTACTTCAGCTGGTCTAGCACCCGATAACTCTTCAGCATCTACGGTTGCGAAGGGCAAAGAATGAGCAAACCGCCTGCCACAACGCCAAAGCGATCAAGCAAGACAACCCAACAAAAGATCAATAAACCCAATAACTGCACTATACTTCCACCAAAAGGAAGACAAACCCAGGTGACCAAATGATTCGCAAAAAATCGATACTAGAAAAGGGAATATGTTTTCACTGTACCTGGAATGATTGAGCGAACTTAGCCAACCAGAACCTTTCTGTGCGGCGGCTGTATCTCTCAGCAGCCTGGCGGCAACAGCAGACCTGTACATGATCTCGGATTGGCGAGTGAAAGGAACTATGGCTTTCGTAACTTTGAGAGAGCCGAAGCTTTCGTAAATAAGAAGAGTGTATAATTAATATAATTAAAATCAATAATATTCCAATAATTCATTTATAATAAATAAATAACCGACTAATACAATTGGTGTTTGCATAAACAATTATGACCGATTTTCATATTCTCAAAGCAATGCAAAATACATTGGTTGTCTATACTTTTAAGTAAGCCTCTTTTTATGTATCTAATTAAATAATCATTAGCAAACTGATCATCAATTAGACTTCGAAACTTGATATTAGTATAGTGCAAGTTAAAAATGTTATTTCTACACTTATAGTTGCAACGGGTAGAATCAAACTAGTTTTTTTTATGGAAGAATCAAACTAGTTTCAGAAGCAAATAAACTAACGAATATGACTTACGTACTTTTGTCTCCATCATTATTCAAGATAATTCATCAATTACTTTCAATTAGTGAAATCTTATAACATCATGATAATAGCCAACAAGCTATTGTTGAATAATTATTATGAATGGAACAAATAAATTAATTGTTTTTTTATCAATTATGGGTTTGCTTTGAACAAATTGAAATTGGTCCGTAAATAGATCACGCTATGGTGGCTGTCTCCCAGCAAAAAAACCAAAACTAGTCGGTTATCTCAGGTCCCAATATATATTTGCCGCTTTCTGTCAATCGTTGATGGGCTGAATGGTAGTCTTGTCACACATCAGTGGACTGATAGAGTGTTCTTGTTACTAACAAAAAGAGTAAAAGACAAACAAACAAGAGGATTTGCATTTTATTTTTAAATTTCTATGAGCTTTTATACAGCCGTTGGTCCGATGAGTTTTTGGGTTGATAATTTTATTCATATTTTTAAAGGATTATATGCATAATATTCTCTTCTATTTTACATTTTTTTTTCAAATATGTCCCTTTACTTTAAATTACATTAATTCAACTTTATTATTGTTAAACATTGTTCAAATCTACCCCCATGTTATCAGTCAATATAATATATTGGAAATGAGAGACTAAAAGACAAATCTGCTCCCCTTAGTTCCGTTTCATCGTCCCCAACTTCCCCCTCATTTACCATCTCCGATTACCCCCAAAAGGAGCAAGCTCGACATCAATCCCCCCTACCCTACATTTCCCCCAATCCCTCCAGCAATTTTGTTTTTTCTCGGCGGTTGATTGATGCGGAGACCTCCAACTCCTCCGCATCTTGACCGCTCTCGGGACCCCAGCCCCTTCCTCTGTGTACCTCTGATGCGGCATAGCCACGCCGATGTCGATCCTTTGAGCCTCTCTCTATCTTTCTGATTTGCGACCATTCCCTAATTCGGGGCCTCCCCTGCACCCGAACCTGTTATTCGACCTCTTATCGTAAGACTACACACCTTGGTAAATAATCGACCCCTCCTTCTGTGTCTTTTGTCAATTCACAAAGCCTAATTCCTCAATCATATTGTCTTAGGGATTGGGGTTGCTGGAAGGTCTACTGTTGAGAAGATGGACTTCGAGATCAACGATGACGGTGAGGTGGTGGCGTCAGCACGAGAAACACAGGGGCGGGGAAAATGGGATCGACGAAGGGGGAGGTATGTGTTGAAGAAGTCGTTCGATTTGATGGCGATCGGCATTGGATCAGTGGATGGGAGCGCTTTTTTGGCGATGAAAGAGGGGATAAACTTGTCTTTTAGTCTCTCATATCCATGACATTTTACTAACCAATTTCGGGTGGACCGGATTTGAAGATTCTAAGACCAACATACTAACGGAGGGGGAGGTTTGAGCAAAGTTTAATAGTATGGGGTAGATTTGATGTAATTTAGAGTAGAGAGGCATATTTGAGAAAAATGTAAAGTAGAGGGACATATTTTACATATAACCCATTTTTAAATGATTTGAAAATTATAAATAGGGTTAATAGCCTTTTGTACCCTTTTACTAAGGCACATTATCCATCCACAAGTCGATCCAATTATAAATAGGGTTAATAGCATTTTGTACCCCTTTATTATGGTAAATTAACAAACGTACCCATCTACTCAATTTTTGCACCAGTTTATCCTTCCATCTAATTTTTGGTTAAGTGACCGTTGAATGAGCTGGAAAATGACTCATTTGCCCCTTATTTACTCCTAATTTCAGTTTTAATTATTTTAATTATGTTACGATACGAGCCATTCGTAATAATTTTAGGAATTTCTGGGCTCATCTAGTTTGATTAATTGGTTGGTATTTTGTTAGCATTGTTTATTGTTTAATTGTCTTAGTAGAATTGGGATTGCTTTTTAGTAGTTGTTTAGGAATTAGTTATTGTTTTCTTATCAGAGAAGTAGTCATGTTTTAGGTAAGAAATGATATGTTCTACTTCTATGCCTTTAAATATGTAGTTCGTCTTTCATTTAAGAATATGAGAAGATTGGAACCTAACTCTTGAGTCTTGCTTCGTTCTTCGTTTAAAGTTCTTTTCGTCCTAAAGTATATTTCTTAGCATTCTAACTCTAATTCTCTTTGTCCTGAGTCTATTTTTTTAGTTTACCATTCGATTCTTGTGAGACACCTTGCGTGGGAGATTCTATCTAAAGAATCCAAGTAACAATTTGTATCAGAATCAGGTTTTGCACAACCCGAGAATCTAGATTATCCAATTTCTTGTGCGGAGATGACACCCGACAAGGGAGACATCTAGCCAAGGAGCTCCTGATCACGATAGCCGAGATAGAGGCGTTCTTTCAAAAGCTCTTGTCACTCGCTAGGAACGAACCGCTAGCACAACCAGCTACCTCTGCTGCAACTTCCGTCACGACTATGCTAGCTGCACTTAGTGAGAAGGACGTGACAAGGACCAACGCAGGATCCCTATTACTGGTGTTGCTTTGTGAAAAATCTAGAAGAAAAATAAAAGGGTTGAGGATATTGAGTTCGTGGTATGAAAATGGCTTTATTCATCCAGGCATGATAATAAAAGGGATACACTTGGTAGTTGGTATCATATGTCAGCTTGATAGGAATTCATGGAGTTTACCACAAAGCTTTCTGAACAGTGTACCTCAACGTCGACTGCATGATGGTTTTTTGAATTGGAGATTTCGGAGGAAGAAGAGAAAGCAATGGAGGCTGAAAGTTCTTGACCTGCCGCAAGTCTCAGCCCATCTTCGCCAAGTTGGAAGGGTGATATGGGAGTTATCAATGAATCTAATGACAACGTCGTTAAACCCACCAACAATACTCGCTCACGTTGAGACTTGCGATTATTAGAGTATGCGTAGTACGAGTAGTATTGTATTATGCTACGAGTACTAGTAGTATGTAATTGAGTAGAGTTATATTTCTTATTAGAGTCGTAGAATTTAGGTTATTTCCGTATTAGTGTTAGGGTTATTATAGAAGTCAGTGTCTGTATTCTATATAAACCCTATGTGGCATCAGTAATAAGACACAACAATTTCCACCGTATTCTTATATTTCAACATGATATCAGAGCCTGATTCAAAAACCTAATCGAAAAAAACCCTAAGTTTCCTTCCTATCCCGCCGCCACCAGGAGTCCAGAGTCACCGGGAACATAACTCCAGCCATCCAATCTTTTTGTCTATTTCTCCTTACTCGCCAGTAATATGTTCTCCTCAATCTCGTTATTGCTTTGTTTGTTCCTTGGAGTAGCTTTGTCATTTGTTAGTTTGGTGGTTAACTTCGACGTCATGAATTCTGTCCCGGAATAATTACTCCCCGGTCATCGCTTCGCTTGATCTGCTGTGTTGCATGGTCAGCCATACCGAGACCTGTATCATCATGAAAAAAGCTTCTCGTCAGCTGTCCGTCTCCAACTCACTACTTCTTGGTTCGTATCTGCTATATATAGTCGCTTGTTTTTGGTTCCGAGGCTTTATTGCGGCTTCTATATACTATATAGCCTTTATTCTTGGATCCGTAAAGTTTGGTATACGGCGGTGTGCTTTTGGTTTTTTGGACCAAAGTAAAGGAACCAACTATTAGTTGCTTTGCTTCGCTTGATTAATTTTTTTTTTTAAAGGGAGGCTAGGAAGCCAGAATTACAAAGCCAAAGCAAGGATCAAGGGTAAACGAACCAGGCAACAGACCACCCAGGTTCGAGAGACCCAAATAAAAAACACCAGAAAACTAAGGAAAGGCAGAGACAGAGGTAAAAGCAACGGTAACAGCCACAACCTATCCTGAAATAACCATCCGGGGAAAGCTAACGCCAACCAAATCTTCTAAAAGAACCTTATCTAAACCCGCGGGAGGTTCTACTAGTTCTACTAGTCGAACCATCCAGCTCTGAGTCATCATTCTTCGAATAGCAGCAAGGAGGGTCGAGTGAGGGTGTGCTGGGTCATCCCTGTTGTTTATCAATTGCACCGCTAGCAGTTGCACTCCTTGCAAACTGGGTGAAGTTTATTTGTCACGTGAGTTCAGGTTGCAGTTCGGATTGGAAAGCTTGGGTTGGTGAATATGAAGTAATTTGATTGGTTGGTCATGGTGGAGATTGCAAGGGTTTTCAGCTGGAGTCGTTGAAGTCCGTCTCGGTTTGGTACAACTATAAGTTTCATCCCTGTGGTTGCTGTGTTCTGATTTTGAAGGTGTTGTTTGGAACACCTTGGTTGAAGATATTGTTCGGAACATCTTAATTTGATAAATGTTGTTCGGAGCATTTTTTGTTTCATTTCTGTTTCGATGATGCTATTCGGAGCATCTTGATCGCCATGTTGCTCTTCGGAGCACGTGGTTCTGTTTCTGTTTCGACGATGCTATTTGGTGCATCTTGATCGCCATGATGCTGTTCCGAGCACGTGGTTCAGTTAGTTCGACGGACTAGACGAATTTGGCAAAACCTTTTGTTATCTCCAGCTTATCACCATCGAAGTTTCACGAGGCATTGGACATGGTCTTCATCAACATCGACATATTTGGCGGAGCAGTTTTGTTTTTCACGGTGGAAATTGTTATGTCTTATTAGTTATTACTGATACCACATAGGGTTTATATAGAATACAGAGACTGACTTCTATAATAACCCTAACACTAATACGAAAATAACCTAACTTCTACGACTATAATAAGGAATATAACTCTACCCAATTACATACTAGTACTCGTAGCATAACACAATACTACTCGTACTACACATACTCTAATAGAGATACCCCAGATGATATGGAGATCCCAATCGACGCGACCACCATCGCGTCAGATATTGATCACAACATTGACATGGTGTGCCTAGCTGCACTGCACTCATTATTGGCCAACACAATTGCTACCAGGGAGGTTTTCGAGCTTCAAAGGAAACCCGCAGGAGGTTCGATACCTCAACCTAAATCCAAGCTAAGTAGGTGATAAAGTTCGTGACCCACATACCTTGTCTTCTACGGGACGACTAATGAACTTGGGGAGTGAAAATTGGAGGTGAATGGAACGCTCCCGTTGGGGAATGGAAATTATTGGAACTATTATTTCATGAATTGGAGGTCAAATTTCAAATGTGAGGATTATGTGCATTATTGTTCCATCCATGGGCCACAACTGGGGGATTACAAGCTGGGAAGTAGAGGCAGTGTGGGAGTGATTGGCTCAGCTCCGTTGGAGAAGGAGTTCACTTCCATGGAAGCTGGTAATGACGAAAGAACCAATTGGGTGATCGAACTCAACTGGAAGTATCACAAGCGTAAACAACGTCAACAAGAGGCCATTGTCGTCTACTACAAATCGCGAGGAAACTTCTTCTATATCGATCCCGGTTAAAGCTAGTGTGGTCATCTCACCAACCTTGAGGGCAAGGTTGCGTCGAAGGGGGTAGGATTGTTACGATACGAGCCAATCGTAATAATCTAGGAATTTTTGGGCTCATCTAGTTAATTAATTAGTTGGTATTTTATTAGTATTGCTTAATTGTCTTACTAGGATTGGGATTGCTTTTAGTAGTTGTTTAGCATTTAGTTATTGTTTCTTTATTAGAGAAGTAGTCATGTTTTAGGTATTTGAAAGAATATGTTCTATGCTTATAAATATGTACTTCATCTTTCGCTTAAAAATATGAGAAGATTGGAACCTGGTCACTTCAATTCGTGCAGGTTTTTGTCATAGGTTTGCATGTATCCACAACTACCCCATCCTAGACCAAGTTTAAACTAGAACGGTGTTGTCGTTTAGTGGTAATCAAGGTCGTAATTCTACCCGAGTCCCGGTACCCTAGCCTACTTCCCACCTAGTTGCTAATTTGTTAATCGGTTTTTGAGGTTTTGATTGGAGGATATGAGGAAACTCTAGTATAAGGATTCATCAAAGCTAAAAGCAGGTACTTCGGGGAGTAATCCTCCCTCTAGCTTAGGGTCACTATGCATATATAGATATCTAGGGTCGTCGAATGTGGTGGGTGAGCTCTTTTCCGCAGGCCTTCGTCATTATCCACACGCCTCCGAGTACGCCTCCCCTAAACCCATGTTCCAGTCACATGGATCTAGGCTATCGTATCTGCGGCATTAAGTATATGGCTCATTTCAATGGACACTATCCACCGTCCACACCGAGTTTTTATCCCGGGTTTCACCTAGGAAAGCCACCTATAGCAGGGGTATGGTCGACTCGACCACTATAGGCCCACATTCACACATCTAAGCTAAATTCGCCAGATGGCGCATATCTGTCTAACCCTAGTACTCCGTACCCAGCGCGATAACATAAAGTAGGCTAAGAGGTAAGATTGGGGACAGTTGCCCAAGCGTCATCATTTAGGAAAGAGTGGCATTAAAATAAACTCGGCAAACACATTCATTCATTCAAACCCTAACACATCTATATATTCAAACCCTAAAACTAGGGTTTGGGGTTTAGAACCCCTAGTACCTTAGAGGACTACTCCATAAAGGAGGGAAGAAGATACATGGTAGAAATAGAAGAACACTTGAAGTTGGGGAAGATCCTCCTTCCTTCTAGCTCCTCCTTCTTCTCCTTCTCTACTCCTTCCTTCAGCTTCTC